ACATCACAGCTTTGATGTATTACATTCTGACATTTATCCGAGTTACCTCCCCTCCTCACGGCTTTGGGAAATTTATTCATCCATGAACTCACATGTACTTCAGTCCTAAATGTGTTTTATTATAATGAACAGTGAGTAGATAAATATCAGAAACATTTCCTTTGATACGATTTATATATGACTGGTTCACGGAGTCTTTATAGAATGTAACTTATATTTCCGTGATGATTGTGCAGACAACACTAGGTACGTAACAATAAACATCTCCGAATAAACCAGCCTACGTACCTCTCCGATGTTTTGTATTCGGAAACATCTGACTGTATTTCCTTTATTGTTTGGTATGAATGTTTAACTGAGATATTCGAGAGATATTCGTCAGATCTCGCGACCCGCGGTGACGTGGGGTGGAGGTAAACCTTCACAAAACAACGTTAATCGTGCATGAGGCTAACATAATTGTTTCCCTAATAATGGAATTGTCAGCCAGGCGTACCTCATACCGTTGAACGGTTTTTCTCCCTCAATTTCTGACTGGTATGAACGCAAATCGGTTATACGGATATAAGATATTCCTTCTATTTTCGATATTGAAATGTCTTTGTCGTCACTGCAAACGAGTTTCCTGAAACAGCCTAATGCGTCACCATAATACGATTGTACGGTAATCGAGGCGGAATTAAGGAGCCTTCAAAATGATGCTAATTAAATTCGTTCATAGCCCTATGAACACAATTTCTTATGGTAGTGTTATTGTAGGAACCTGCAATAGATATAGAATGGTGTAATAGTATACATAAAATGTATTCTTAAACACCTTAGCTTAGGTCCAAATATAGCTGTAACAAATTCTCAGGTCCCTTATTTATATGCGGTATAAATTAATTAGAATTATGATAAAGTAGGAATACTTGTCAGCCAGGCGTACCTCATACCGAATGGAATTGTCAGCCAGGCGTAACTCATACCGATTGGAATTGTCAGCCAGGCGTAACTCATACCGATTGGAATTGTCAGCCAGGCGTAACTCATACCGATTGGAATTGTCAGCCAGGCGTAACTCATACCGATTGGAATTGTCAGCCAGGCGTAACTCATACCGATTGGAATTGTCAGCCAGGCGTAACTCATACCGATTGGAATTGTCAGCCAGGCGTAACTCATACCGATTGGAATTGTCAGCCAGGCGTAACTCATACCGATTGGAATTGTCAGCCAGGCGTAACTCATACCGATTGGAATTGTCAGCCAGGCGTAACTCATACCGATTGGAATTGTCAGCCAGGCGTAACTCATACCGATTGGAATTGTCAGCCAGGCGTAACTCATACCGATTGGAATTGTCAGCCAGGCGTAACTCATACCGATTGGAATTGTCAGCCAGGCGTAACTCATACCGATTGGAATTGTCAGCCAGGCGTAACTCATACCGATTGGAATTGTCAGCCAGGCGTAACTCATACCGATTGGAATTGTCAGCCAGGCGTAACTCATACCGATTGGAATTGTCAGCCAGGCGTAACTCATACCGATTGGAATTGTCAGCCAGGCGTAACTCATACCGATTGGAATTGTCAGCCAGGCGTAACTCATACCGATTGAACTTGTCAGCCAGGCGTACCTCATACCGATTGGAATTGTCAGCCAGGCGTAACTCATACCTATTGGAATTGTCAGCCAGGCGCAACTCATACCGATTGAACGGGTTTTTCTCAATTTCATGCTGGTATGAACGCAAATCGGTTATACGTACAAATGTATGTAACGGGTTTGTGTTCATATCGGCATGGACATTGAAAAAATGCCGTTTAATCTTCATATTTACGCCCTTAATGTTCAGTTATTATTGACAAAGATATTCCTTATATTTTCGATATTGAAATGTCTTTGTCGTCACTGCAAACGAGTTTCCTGGAACAGTCTAACGTCATCAAAATACGATTGTATGTTAATCGAGGCGAACCTTCAAAATGATGCTGATTAAATTGCATTCATAGCCCTATGAACCCATTTTCTTATGGTAGTGTTATTGTAGGAACCTGCAGTGGACATGTTTATATAGGATGGTGTAATAGTATACATAAAATGTATTCTTAAACACCTTAGCTTAGGTCCAAATATAGCTGTAACAAATTCTCAGGTCCCTGTTTTATATGCGGTATTAATTAATTATTGTGTCATGATACAGTATGAATACTTGTATGCAAGGTATATATACGGGGACAGTATATACAGTACAGATACTTGTATGTACGGTATAAATACTTGTATGTACGGTATAAATACTTGTATGTACGGTATAAGTACTTGTATGCACGGTATAGATACGGAGACAGTATTTACAGTACAGATACTTGTATGCACGGTATAAATACTTGTATGCAAGGTATATATACGGGGACAGTATATACAGTACAGATACTTGTTTGCACGGTATAAATCCTTGTATGTACGGTATAAATACTTGTATGTACGGTATAAATGACGGTATAAATACTTGTATGTACGGTATAAAGACTTGTATGTACGGTATAAATACTTGTATGTACGGTATAAATGACGGTATAAATACTTGTATGTACGGTATAAAGACTTGTATGTACGGTATAAATACTTGTATGTACGGTATAAATACTTGTATGTACGGTATAAGTACTTGTATGCACGGTATAGATACGGAGACAGTATTTACAGTACAGATACTTGTATGCATGGTATAAATACTTGTATGCAAGGTATATATACTGGGACAGTATATACATTACAGATACTTGTTGGCACGGTATAAATACTTGTATGTACGGTATAAATACTTGTATGAACGGTATATATACGGGGAGAGTATATACAGTATATATACTTGTTTGCACGGTTTAAATACTTGTATGTACGGTATAAATACTTGTATGTACGGTATAAAGACTTGTATGTACGGTATAAATACTTGTATGTACGGTATAAATACTTGTATGCACGGTATATATACGGGGAGAGTATATACAGTACATATACTTGTTTGCACGGTTTAAATACTTGTATGTACGGTATAAATACTTGTATGCACGGTATATATACGGGGAGAGTATATACAGTACATATACTTGTATGTAAGGTATACATACTTGTATGACGGTATAAATACTTGTATGTACGGTATAAATACTTGTATGTGCGGTATAAATACGTGTTTGGACGCTATAAATAGAGGTTACACAACGAGTGGTTGTTGAATATGGTATTTATTTCACTCAAGGTAGGTAATTTTCGAAAGTTACAAAAGACACGAGCTTTAACGAGTGTCTTTCTGTAACTTTCGAAAATTAACTAACGAGTGTGAAATAAATACCATACTCAACAACCACGAGTCGCGTGATCTGTTTTTACCACAATCTCAGTCGGAAACAGCTGGAGTATTTCCTGATTTGAATAGCAGCCATACACACAAGTTGTTGAGAAGGCTGGCGTAGTGATTTGACCCATATGTAAAAAGTCACTCATTGTTATTCAAAAATGACATTTTTTTCCAAATATAATAATTTTCAAAATTAATGTTTCGGCAACAACTTCGTGAAAAACTAAAATAGAAGAACGACTTTAAATATTGAGAGTATGCAATATTGCATTAATTAATATAAATTAACCACGGTCTACATGCGCGTTAGCATATCGTACGAAGTCTGCCTCCCGCCAAGTGATGAAGACGAACCAATGTCCAAAACCATAGGCCTGGGACGTTTCTTCGTGAGGTTCTATGGTTGACGTTTATAGTGAGACTTCCGCCATAGACAGGCCCTCCAAATATTGATAACGGGACATGGGGAGAACGAAATATTTTCCGACACTGTTACAGATCTTGTTTGGGTTTCACAGAGACATATAAGCTTACATTATGTCTCTGGGTTTCACGACATGCGACGGTATGGCGTCGAAACGATATCGAGCGTCTGTAGCAATTTTGCCTGAAACTAGCGATCAAATCTTTAAGCATCATCTTCTTTTGGTATTTCCTTAATAACCCCCATTTCCCATCGCATAACCTCACAAAAGTCACCAACATTTGCCGGATGTTGACAGCAGACGACGTAAACAAAACAGCACCCGGTCAAGGTTCATCTTCTCGACCAATCAAAACTACGGAAGGTCATATACCACGTGTGGTGTATAACTCATATTTATTCAGCAGTCTGCATGTTTATACAATGATCTGAGAGTGCATTGTGGTAGAAATAATGGTATGCACTGTATAAATAGTTGTATGTACGGTATAAATACTTGTATGTACGGTATAAATACTTTTATGTACGACATAAATACTTGTATGGACGGTATAAATACTTATATTTCCATTTGCTCTGCATTGCCACTATATAACCTTACCAAACAAAATAGAAATATATCAGATTTTAATCTGATTTTAATCTGATTTTAATTGTAATTCTCACATAATTCCCATTTGTGTAGTGATATAAAGAGCATGTTCGTGACGTCGTGACTAAATGACGTCGTTTTGACCGACGTCACGACAAATAACAATACGCATTCCTCGTGGTAACCCATCCGTGCTAACTGATTACAAAAAATGTTATAATATTCTTTTGTGCTGTATCTGTAGTTGTTTTGGTGTCATGCTGGTCATGCGCAATTGCTCATTATAAGTATTGTAACAGGAGAGGTAATGCACGGCCAGACCGGGGTTCGAACCCGGGACCTTCCGAACTCTAGACGGACGCTCAACCAATTGGGCATCTGGTCGCCGGTTTCTTGTTTCCATTTATACCACTTTCAATAAAGTCTTTTATTCTTTGAAATTTCTTACATTCTGCAGGAAAAGCATATTTAAACGAATAACAATACAATATTCTCTGAAAAATTATCTTTAATACAAATCCACAACAATAAAGTCAAAAGGAGAAAGACAGACAAAGAGGGAGACAAAGAGAGGAGAGACAGACAGAGAGGGAGAAAATGAGAGGAGAGATAGAGAGAGATAGAGAGGGAGACAAAGAGAGGAGAGATAGACAAGAAGTCAGAAAGAAAGACAGAAAGACAGACAGAGAAATAAAAACAAGGGAAACCCATTGTTTTTCTTACCTATAGCACCGTTATTATAACAATGATATAAACAATACATTATCACAGAAAGTCATTTGTAAATAGCACTATTTATGAATATCACAGAAATGTCAGTTTATCACAGCTGGTCCTAATCAGTTCGATAACGTCACAGCAATTCGCAAACCGGACGTACCCTGGTACCGTATATTGGATGTGTAATGTTCGTTGGTTTTTGAGATTATCAAAACTGCAGTCTCATGGCGTTTTTCCTCTTCTGGCCAGCAGCCCAGGACTTTGACCTCGAACGGAAATGACGTAAATCGCCCACGTGTCCCTTGTGAAGCATCGGTACGTAAGACATAGGGCTGCAGCAAGTCTGTTGCGAGACAAATGATAAATATTAATACATGTGTGTGATTCTAGAATAACACTACAAAAAGTGTCTTTCTTAAGTTTATGTAACTGATTTGAATGTGTGTTATCTATTTGTACATGTATGTATTTAAGCCACACGAGACGAGAATAAACAAATTGTATTTCTCGTTCTTTCGTCTTTTCGCCTCTAATGAAAAATGACTAAATCTTGTCTTTCTGTTACGAAAAGAAGAAACAACTAAATGACACAAATCAGCCAGCGTACAATCAGACTGATCATATAAAATGGAAAATATCGCGGTATTGAAATACTTGCGTTGGTCACATGGATTAAATTAGAGCGAAATGCATAAGAAAATTTCCATATCGCGATCAGTTTTAAAGTGCTACAACGCCAACATTTCCACACGCTACAATTTCCGCTATTACAGTATTTATGATCACGTGGTGCATACTAACCTTGTCGTGTTCGTAGAAAGCTTTGTAACCTCCGTCCAATAGGTACACTTCCGGGTAAATCAGGGAAGGATAACTCTCCTTGTTCACTGCACGGTCCTCAGCTCGAAGAAACCTATACCTGTTAAAGAAAATAACAAAATATAGTCTACTTTTTTATTTTCAAATGCAAAAAAGGCATGCAAAAATAACACTAAAAAATGCATGATAATTTCTTGATTCCCTTGAACGGAACAGCAAGCCCGGAAAAAACAATGAAAACCCATTCATATTTTGCATGGACCAATTTGTTATAAATTATTTACTTTCGAAATCTAGAAGAATAAGGAGCTGAACTGAACCACTAAGTACAGCATTCCCTGGTGCCATCTTTTTCTATAGAACGACATATGCACAGGGGTTAAACACACAATACTAAACAGAAAGATACCCCGTATAGTACATTCCCAAAGAAGCAGCATTTACAAAAACGTTGGGGATGGCGCTTCTTAGTTGTGATAACTTGTACCACATCTGCTTTATTGTGTCATGACAAAAAAGTTTAGAACAATCAAGAAACAATTGAACACATATGTATACATACATTTTTGGCCCTCTTTCGGACGAAAACTCGCAGTGGAATATAATGACATGTCTCTCGTGATCACGACTCCCGGCCCGGAGAAGTTCCCTGACGGCGTCATGTGTGTGGAGGTTTTCTGCTCCCTGAAACATAAGCATAACTTTTTTTTAAAGATCAAATATTTTTACAGCAACATAGACAAAACAATATCGACATACACACGAATTAAGAAGCAGAATCCGTTGATGAACTCGACCACGTGACATTCCGGTAACAAGACAGACTTCCGGTTATGAGGGGAGTCACTTACAGTAAGTGTTGACCTGTTAGTGATAGTTGGTACTGCCATGTGTCAGCTTAATTGATCTCTAGCATAAGCGTATATAAATTGATTTGAAACAGATATTTTTCCATATTGTTGGTAATAATTCATTATTTGAAAAAATATATATATAAAGCGTTTTGAATGTTTTTCCTGTAACGAATATAACCAGTAAGCTAAGTAAGCTCAGTTAAAGATAATAAAAAATTACTTCGGATCTTGGTTCTAATTATAGAAAAGACAAATCGTCTGTGATCGAGTTATCTACATACCTGTATATGTCCTCCTTCGAATTCGTATGGATACCGACAGTCGACGACTCTGCAACTAGCGATGACGTCATCGTACCCGCCACGTAACACGTCACACATCTATTGAACGATAGAAATAAGGACATTCAATCGGGTTTCAATCTTATAACAAATAATTGTTTAATTCCAAATACATAAATAACAACGGTACAGGAGAGATATTGTGAATGATTTTAAGAACTGCGTTGTCTTTGAAGTTAAGGATTTAATTTTTGGGAAACAGTACTCTTTGGTATCAAGTCACAAATTAGATCAATTAAGTAAACCCGTTTTAACAATCACAAGTTCGCAATTACGTTTGCATATTTATAATAATTCGCATAAAGTAAAATGACTACAACCGGAAGTACTCTTTAAAGCGGCCATTTCCTTTATATCTATATATATATCATTTCAATAGGGTCACAATTTTGAAAAGGAAAGTTACCGTTTCTGGTGAAATGTTCTTCAAATCCTGATGCTTTCCTGGTATGGTTGGTAAACAATACGGTCGACTTCCGTCCGCAACTAAGTCCCCCGTCTCCGCCATCAAATCCATAGCCATTTTGACATCAGCACTATCACACATATCATCATGGTCCTGAAAGAAACGCAAAAGACATATATGTTATTTTTAGTTAAATTTGATAGCACTTTACTAACAAGTTTTTATAAGTTCGAGAAAAATAATGAAGAAATTAATTGAGTGGTGTAAATTATAAATATAGTTTGGTACAGTGTTTATAAATCAATTTAATCTATACGAAATACTGGAGAGTAAAGCCTTCTATTATGTTGGAAATGTCAATTGTGCAACTTACCCCAATCGCAAACGAAACTGACTTCTGTCTCATGCTTCGGCAATTTGGTGCGGGGTAGTCATCACATTCATGTTCCTGTAGGGGGCGCTTCCTCGAAAACAGGTCCCGACGAACCACGGGACCTTTGGATAGACGACGGATCTGAAACTGCATAGGGAATGATTAATTAGTTAAATATGCCACAATCTATTACCATTTTTTTTTACAGAAAAGGAGCAACGCAAATGACATGAAAAAATGTTAACTTTAAAAACAAAACCTGAGGAGAACCAGTTTACAAAACCTTAAATCTCAGTAGTAAAAATTAGCTGTAATATTCGGAAGTTATAGTGCTGATATATTATATTTATAAGATAAACAGTGGTTTAAAATGTTTTTATTAGTTTGACGTTTACCCAAATTGTTTATATGGAAATGCTCACCTCGTTCTCGTTGCTATCAGTGATTTCCGGTTTGTCATTCCCTGGAGAGGACTCTCCTCCGAATACTGCCTCGTAGTCCTGCAAATATAAATTGTGCATATTATTATCAGAAATTAACCAAATAAACAATCATACATTCATAAGAAAATGTTTTTGTTGAAGTATATGCATAGCTTTTTGTTGATGCATAGTTAGAAAGACATTAAGACTCACTTGTGTGTCATTTTTTTTGTCTTTTTTTTATGAAATTATTTTAGCTAAATTCTTCAAATGGAAATTTATATGGTTACATTAATGATATTTGTAAATGCGCGAGAACAATTTATAGATTTTATTCATTATAATTCCCTTTGTTGATCTCTAAACATACCTCGTCATCAAACCCAAGGCCAGAGTCGTCGTCATGGAAACTATACTTGTTCCTGGACACTTTCGGGGTCATCATCTCCTCGTCAAAGGTCATTTCCTGGTCAGAGGTGATTTCCTGGTCAAAAGTCATGGTGTTCATCTAAAAATAAATTGGAAAATGTTAAAGATATTAAAATTGTGTACATGATTAAGCCAAAAATGAAAATTACACTGCACCATACAGCTGTTTCGTCCTTCTAGGAATCATGGGTGATGGTAGGGGCCGAACAGTTGGATGTTTAGTTAAACTTTTGTTTATGTGTATGTTTTAAGTGTCTTTATTATTTTCATGAACCGTGCCACTAATCAGGAGTAAAAACTGTGGCCATAAGGTTACGGCAAACCGCGGGGAAATCTAAGAAATCTACCAGCAGAGTGCCCGATAGAAGTGTACTTCAGAAGACGACCCTGATAGTAACTTATCTAGATAGACTTAGCCTTAACTTAGTGTCTGATCTAGTGTCTATTTATATGTTGTAATGATCGAGATTGCAGAAGTCGTTGTTCATTAATACTTATCTGGAAAAATGATTGGTACTTTAGTTATATTGCTATTTTGGGAACACAGTAAGAGTATTTTCACTTGAAATTGACGGAATTTTGCAATTATATGGTTGAAGCTATAAATGTGCTTCCAGTCAAAGAATAAATTAGTTTCGCTGCGCTGTTACTGCTTATGCATTGGTTACTGTGAATATGGTAAATTAAAACTTAGATTTATATAAAAATAAAGAAAGAACAACGAAAACTTTCTACGCGTTATAAAACAAACAAAACAGAGTGAGCGACAGACTGTTTCACATTTTAAGTCTCCGGGATTAAAACACAAACTCATGAGAGATTTTTGAAAATACTTACTCACCTTCAAAACAAAGATTTCGTTTAAGGATAAAATTTCCGTATGCTATTTTTAAACAATGCTGAAGAGTATCCGTTTTACTATAGAAAAGAACGGGTGTCATTTTCACCGAGACCAATGGAAGCGGACCTTGTGACACGCCCAGCATGCGTCACATACACACACTGGTAGTGGACCAAGCTGTTTGGAACCAACTTACACATGACCAATATGGCAATTTTGTAGGAGAGTTTATAGATAAATAAAATAACAAATAAAGTGTGTTTCAGTTCATGTTACCGAGGAACACTCTTACCACGGACTTAGATAACATTCTAATTCCGTGCTCTTACATAAAGGATAATAATAAATGTTTTTAAACCTCAAAAGTCCAAAATCGTCAACAATAATTCCTGTTATATATATCAGACAAAAACAAAACAAATATTTTGTCTACTGTTAAGTGATAAATATATTGTAATATATTTATCACTTAACAGTAGACAAAATATTTGTTTTGTTTTTGTTTTTTATATTTTCTTCTTTCTATTTTGTTGTTTGTTTATTTTCTGTATTTAAAAAAATACCTAATACGTGTAATGTTTTGTTATATGTATTTATTTGATCATTACTGTGTGTTTTCTGTCTTTATGTAACTTTATTAGGCGGGCCTTTGGAATGCTGTAACACCTTGTGTATAATCGTTTTGCATCATTTATGTAGAAGTTTAAATAATATATTTTAATCAAAATTTAATCAATAAGAAAATAAATAAGTCGTACATAAATTATGGAGGAACAGAAAATATATTAATTTAATGTCTAATAGTTATCAATGATTTATCAAACATTAAGTTTTAAAAGTACATGTATTTCATCATTAATATATGATAAAAAAAAATGTGTTTACCTTCGTGTTCGGAATCTTCGTCTATACAAGACAGTGATACTGGTCGTCCTTATCCTGAATGCCGTACCCTGCCCACGCTTATCTCTATATACCCCCTTAACTTTTCCTGATGTTTTTGTTAATTAACATGGTAAAAAGTGTTCACCTTAGCGTAACCCGTGGCTGAAGCCAAGACCAGAGTGACTCAATCAAAAATCGATCACTTTTCAATTAGTTACATGTGAGGAGTCGATGAGATCGATCAATACTAATCACTGATGGCATTGACAGCTGATTGGTACGAACAGGTAAACAACAGGGGAGGTGTGGCGGCAGGGCGGGGTCGAAGGGAGGGTTGTGAACACAGGTAACTGTTGGCAGTAGACCAGGTAATTAATACACACGGGTAACTGTCGACAGTGGCATTTAATTAATACACAATACAGGTAACTGTCTAGGAGAATCGAGAGGTCGCGAACATTGTTTAAGAGTGGATCTGATTTGATGGTACAGACTTCGGTAATCGATGCTTGTTGACCGGCTGTCCATGGCGATGAACAGGTCACTCGTTGTCATTTGAAGACAAGCTTATTTGCAAACAACTGGCATGTTATTTACATTTTAGTCAATTGTGGCATTGTATTGTCAAAGGTAGATACTTGAAGTGTAAAATCCATGTTAATTTCATGATTTGCAGTTAGCATATCTTACTTAAAGATTTCCTGAAAGTCTTAACTAACGCAAGAAAAGAATTGTTCATAACACTTTTAAAATATATCTAATCAATAAAGCTATTTACTAATTAAATCATGACCAACACATGTTTGAAACAAGAGGCCCAGGGGCCTTAATAGCTCACCTGGTATTTTATTTTTCAATTTAAAACCTGCTGAGTACCATTCAGGTTTATCAAAGGAGTACAAGTAACAAAGTTGCATCTTCCATTTATAAATATTCAATTCCCTTTGCCCAAAGATTCTCTAAAACAAGTTTGGTTAGGTTAAAATCCCTTCAACGGTACAGAAGGAGAAGGATCTTTAATGTTTTCCTCTATTTCCCCTAATGGGCCCCACTAATCTGCCCCAAAGAAGGGGAATCCACACACCTCAGTTTAAACAAAATTGATTCTTTTCTCCCTAAGCATGCTTCAGACTGCATTTGGTTTAAATCCCTTCACTTGTATAGTAGGAGAAAAAAAATCCTCTATTTCCCCTATTGGGCCCCGCTCCTATGCCGCCAGAAGGCCCACACCCTCCGTTTATACAAACTTGAGTCTCCTTTGTCCAAAGATGCTCTAGGACAAATTTGGTCAAAATCCTTCAATTGGTTGAGGAGAAGATTTTTAAAGATTTACCTATTTTCCCCTATTTGGCCCCGTCCCTCTGCCCCCAGGGGGACCATACCCTCCGTTCATACAAAACTGAGAACCCTTTGGCCAATGATGCTCCAGACCAAATTTGGTCAAAATCCCTTCATCGGTACAAAAGGAGAAGGATATTTGATGTTTTCCTCTATTTCCCCTAATGGGCCCCACCCATCTGCCCTTAGAAGGAGGCCCACACACCTCAGTTTATACAAAATTGATTCTTTTGTCCCTAATCATGCTTCAGACTGCATTTGGTTAAAATCCCTTCACTTGTATAGCAGGAGAAAAAAAATCCTCTATTTCCCCTATTGGGCCCCGCCCCTCCGCCCCCAGAGGGGCCACACCCTCCGTTTATACAAACTTGAGTCTTCTTTGTCCAAAGATGCTCTAGGACAAATTTGGTCAAAATCCTTCAATTGGTTGAGAAGAAGAACATTTTTAAAGATTTACCTTTTTTCCCCTTATTTAGCCCCGCCCCTCTGCCCCGAGGGGGGGCTATACCGTCCGTTTATACAAAACTGAGAACCCTTTGGCCAATGATGCTCCTGACCAAGCTTCAGACTGCATTTGGTTTAAATCCCTTCACTTGTATAGTAGGAGAGAAAAAATCCTCTACTTCCCCTATTTGGCCCCGCCCCTCTGCCCCCAAAGAGGCCACACCCTCCGTTTATACAAACTTGAGTCTCCTTTGTCCAAAGATGCTCTAGGACAAATTTGGTCAAAATCCTTCTATTGGTTGAGAAGAAGAAGATTTTTAAAGATTTACCTATTTTCCCCCTATTTGGCCCCGCCCCTCTGCCCCCAGGGGGGTTATACCCTCCGTTTATACAAAACTGAGAACCCTTTGGCCAATGATGCTCCTGACCAAATTTGGTCAAAATCCTCTTAGCCATTCAGGACAAGTAGCATTTAAAGGAAAAAGTTGACGGACGCCGGACGACGGACGACGGACGACGGACGCTGCACCATGGGATAAGCTCACTTGGCCCTTCGGGCCAGGTGAGCTAATAATAGGTTGGAAGTCAAGGTTTGCATTGAAAAAAACGTTTTTGTAAAATAATGTTCTGAAACCCAAAAAATCGAAATATATGTTTGTTTCAGGAAACATGTATTGAAGAAAATTACTTTTCAAAATGCATCTTTGTTATCTTTACCGTTTGATCATTGAGAAGTGGTTATTTAAAATAACAAATACTCTGAAGAAAATTCATTTTCTATTATTATTTCTCCTTACATGCAAAAGCATTTCAGATTTTGTATTAGCATTAGGATTAGGCAGCTATGTAAATCTAGATGTTGACGGAAAATATAATGAGTTAAAACATACATAACACTTGAAAAAATAAAAATTTCTTCAAATGTAATATTTTAAAACAATTATTTTTTCATTGTATTAATGACAGATCTCCATGAATAGCTGTCTTTAGTTCGGTACAAAGAGATGAAGCCACTAAACTATTCTAATTAATGGACAGACAATGAGGAGCTGTCCACAGTATATACGTAACCAAACTACGGTAGGAACAACGTCAGGTGGGCTTAAGAGTGTTTTTAAATCATATTTCTCAATGATCCTACATGAAATGCCATCCATTCATAGGTAAATCGATCTCTGGATCTACCAATAAACCGAAATAAGTAAATAGCGAGTTTCAACATTAAATACATGTGCATCATTGTGTTTATTTTGAATTTGTTCAATTAACTGAATTTTGGATGTCAGTCACATTTTTTTTTCTGTTGAATCGAGAATCAGGCTTGTGACAAAGACAAGTTTTTTATTCTCGCAAACTGGTTACAGTGTAAAGAATTATATACATATATAAAGTACAGGTTACGTATAAATCATGGTGTTAATGGCCAGTGTTAATTCGCTCAATTATGTGCTTAAGGAATTTTATAAGTGAAATTAGTTCTTTATTATTGACATAATTTAATAATGTATTGAACTTTAAAGTACTAGGATGTTAGTCACAGTTTTTTCTGTTGAATCGAGAATCAGGCTTGTGAGCATGCCACACATGTCACTACCACTGATCAACAGAACAAGCTATCACATCACAGCTTTGATGTGATAACATTCTGACATTTATCCGAGTTACCTCCCCTCCTCACGGCTTTGGGAAATTTATCATCCATGAATTCACATGTACTTCAGTCCTAAATGTGTTTTATTATAATGAACAATGAGTAGATAAACATGATTCACGGACTCAAGTATCTGGTACAAGTACATTTTTCATGTAATATTGTTTGTGAAAAGTTCCATACGTCATATAAAACAGAAAAAAATCCATATTACAAATATACCGGAAATCAATCACTTTGTTATCGCAATCATTGTTGTTATCTTTATAGAATGTAACTTATATTTCCGTGATACAAGATACAAGAAAGTTTATTTAACGTCGCATAAAGGTAAACAAGGAGCGACAAACATATGTAAAGTAAAGGGAGATAATCACATATATTAATAAAAAAAAACCCAGTAATAATCATCACAGAAAAAGAAAGTATCCATATATTCCAGGTTTCTAAGTGATTGGGAGTACCCTGCCTACAAAGGCCCCCAGGATATGACCCTTTTGGAACAATAAATATATTAAAATAGTGTTAATATATGAAAAGCATTAAATGTGACCACAGATGAGTAGTATTCAGAATAAGTAAATAATAGACATAGTGAATAGTGAATGAATACTTGTATATCACACAACAATTACTTAGGACTTAGGATTAAAACACCATGAAGTGGAATATACATACAATGCTAATATAGCAAAGAATAAAAATTGACAGAATATACACTAGTATAGTGTGAATTAAAAATGATACCGAAATCAATTAACAAAATGTATCAAGTTTTAAAAAAAAAAAAAATCTAGAATATATGGAATTAAAATACAAATTAGATGCTGCAAAAATATAGAATAGAATTAAAATATATAAGAAATGAAATAAGACAATAAAAGTATCACACAATCCAAAATGTCAGGTGGCAGAGGTAACCAGGGCACAGTATGAAGTATCATTCTTTGCACAGGCAGATGGGACCATCCCAGGAATGGACCAGCCTCCTGAATTCTTTAAAGTTATCAACTTTTCGGAAGTCATTTGGGGGACTGTTCCACACCCGGGTGGGATGATTGTGCAGACTACACTAGGTACGTACCAATAAACATCTCCGAATAAACCAGCCTACATTCCTCCCCTATGTTTTGTATTCGGGAACATCTGATTGAATTTCCTTTATTGTTTGGTATGAATGTTTAACTGAGATATTCGAGAGATATTCGTCAAATCTCGCGACCCGCGGTGACATGGGGTGGAGGTAAACCTTCACAAAACAACGTTGCTAACATAATTGTTTCCCTAATAATGGAATTGTCAGCCAGGCGTACCTCATACCGATTGGAATTGTCAGCCAGGCGTAACTCATACCGATTGAACGTTTTTTTTCTCTCAATTTCATGCTGGTATGAACGCAAATCGGTTATACTTTAAAATGTAACCGGTTTGTGTTCATATCGGCATGAAAATTAAAAAAATGCCATTTAATCTTCAAATTTACGCTCTAAATTTTTAGTTATTATTGACATAAACAAAGATATTCCTTATATTTTCGATATTGAAATGTCTTTGTCGTCACTGCAAACGAGTTTCATGGAACAGCCTAACGTCACTTGTATGCATGTACGGTATAAATACTTGTATGTACTTGTATGTACGGTATATATACTTGTATGCAAGGTATCTATACGGGGACATACGATTGTATGTTAATCGAAGCGGAATAAAGGAGAACCTTCAAATTGATGCTGATTAAATTGCATTCATAGCTCTATGAACGCTATTTCTTATGTTAGTGTTGTTTTAGGAACCTGCATTAGACATGTTAATATAGGTCCAAGTATAGCTGTAACAAATTCTCAGGTCCCTGTTTTATATGCGGTATCAATTAATTATTGTGTCATGATACAGTATGAATACTTGTATGTCCGGTATAAATACTTGTATGTCCGGTATAAATACTTGTATGTACGGTATAAATACTTGTATGTACTGTGTAAATATTTGTATGCACGGTATAAATACTTGTATACACCGTGTGAATACTTGTATGCACGGTGTCAATACTTGTATACACGGTGTAAATACTTGGATGCACGGTGTAAATACTTGTGAGCACGGTGTAAATGCTTGGATGCACGGTATAAATACTTTTTTGTACGGTATAAATACTTTTATGCACGGTGTAAATACGTGTATGCACGGTGTAAATACGTGTATGCACGGTGTAAACACTTGTATGCACGGTGTCAATACTAGTATACACGGTGTAAATACTTGTTAGCACGGTGTAAATGCTTCTAAGCACGGTGTAAATACTTATAAGCACGGTGTAAATACTTGTGAGCACGGTGTAAATGCTTCTAAGCACGGTGTAAATACTTATATGCACGGTGTAAATACGTGTATGCACGGTGTAAACACTTGTATGCACGGTGTCAATACTTGTATGCACGGTCTAAATACTTGTATGTACTGTATAGATACTTGTATGTACGGTGTAAATATTTGTATGCAGGGTATAAATACTTGTATTCACGGTGTAAATACTTGGATGCACGGTGTAACTACTTGTAAGCACGGAGAAAATTTGCGTATGCACGGTCTAAATACTTGTATGTACAGTATAGATACTTGTATGTACAGTATAGATACTTGTATGTACAGTATAGATACTTGTATGCACGGTCTAAATACTTTTATGTACGGTATAGATACTTCTATGTACGGTATAGATACTTGTACGTACGGTATAAATACTTGCATGCACGGTGTAAATACTCGTATGCACGGTGTAAATCCTTGTATGCCCGGTGTAAATACTTGTAAGCCCGGGGTAAATACTTGGATGCACGGAATAAATACTTGTATGTAAGGTGTAGATACTTGTATGCACGGTGCAAATACTTGTATGCACGGTATACATACTTGTTTGTACGGTGTAAATGCTTGTAAGCACGGTGTATTTACTTGTATGCACTATAGAAATACTTGTTTGTACGGTACAAATACTTGTATGCACGTTATAAATACTTGTATGTACGGTATAAATACTTGTATGCACGGTGTTATTACTTGTATGCACCGTATAAATACTTGTATGCACGGTATAAATACTTGTTTGTACGGTATAAATACTTGTATGCACGGTATAAATACTTGTATGTACGGTATAGATACTTGTATGTACGGTATAGATACTTGTATGTACGGTATAAATACTTGTATGCACGGTGTATTTACTTGTATGCACTGTAGAAATACTTGTTTGTACGGTATAAATACTTGTATGCACGGTGTAAATACTTGTATAGATTATTCGGACTCACAAGGTTTCCTTCTCTTTACATATACACACGATAACAATGTTTCTATATTCAGACTAGTTTCGTTTTCCGGATAGCATATGTGAACAGAAATTTGGACTAATTATTTTCCCCACAACCCGTGCCTCAAATTATTTCCGTGTGGAGCTTTTCAAATGTCTTTTATAACAGGAAAATGTAACTGTACATACGAGCGAACAAACGAATATACTCATATCAACAAAACACGTGAACGACACTGGCGTCAAATAGCGGCTCTCTGGTAAGTTAAAGTGTATTTATACGGTTTTCACGATGGAACCTTAGTGTTTTACACATTGTCTTTCAATCTTAATGTGAAGCTACGCTTTGTCAGAAAGTTTACTATTTCAAAGTTAATGTGTTGTTGATGATAGTTTATCGATATGTGCTTCGGCATAAATACCACACTGTAACTGTCTACCCCTGCTAGTTATATACACTGTAACTGTCCACCCCTGCTAGTTATATACACTGTAACTGTCTACCCCTGCTAGTTATATGTCTACCCCTGCTAGTTATATACACTGTAACTGTCTACCACTGCTAGTTATATACACTGTAACTGTCTACCCCTGCTAGACCATAGCGATGTTATATACACTGTACTGCTATCTTTAACAAGATTCATATGTTACTGCGGGAATGAATAGTCCCTAACCAGGAAGAAAAAAGTGAAACTGAGAGGAGATATTGTTCGTTGTTTAATTCGAGATTTTGTCCAAGCCGAGAAAAGCTTAGAAATTAAGAATCTCACCCAGAGGGTTACTATTTCTCTGGCATAACCTCAACGTAGTATTTGTTCCCAACAATAAACAGGATGAATGCCGTTAGGACTTTCGATTTCGCGCGCTGAATTGAGTTTTCTTAGTTCCCTCAATTAATAACACCGCATTTAACACAATATTTCTTTTTTTTTCTTTTTTTTTTGGCAATCTTTCATATAATACTTGAATTTGTTTTGTCTTGAAAGTTTTCAAAATATCTCTCATCCTTTATTTCCAGTGAAAATGGCTGATAACGGTACAGACCTTCCCCAGAAAGTGTTGTCAGCTGACCGCACTGCTGACGATGACGAAGACCCCTCCAATATCCCCCAAGCTGTGGAATGTCGTGCGGTTGATTATGCCAATGTTTTGTTCGATGAGCTTGCCTCTTTGTGGGAAAGAAATTTGTTCTGTGATGTAATGTTTGAGGTTAACTCGAACAGGTACAGAGGTCACCGCATAGTGCTTGCATCTATTTCAACTTACTTCCGGCGGATTTTTTGCCGGACCGGAAGCCCTGTTATTCGGATCCGAAACATGCGAAACGAAGCATTTGAAGACATTCTTAAATTTGCATACACTGGAACCATCACGATCACGCATTCAAACGTCTTCGAGATTATGTTTATGTGTAAATATCTGGAGATAACATCACTGATTGACATATGTGTGGAGTTTGCAGTCTGTCTCATTGACCCTCGAAATTGCTTTGAAGTGATGGCCTTTGCCCGTGAATTCAACATTCAAACATTACATGACAAAGCACTGCAATTTATCATTCGAAATCAAGAAAAACTCTTCCACGAATCCGATGTTTGCATGAACTCTCTTGAATCAGTTTTGATTTTTTTCAACGACAGAACTCGACAATTGACAAGAAATGGACTACCGATTTCGTGGAGCAAGCGTGAGACTTACTTTGTTAAATTTCTGGAGAATTTTGTTTGTTCAAATGGAATGAACGAAGAGTTTGCAGAATTAATCAAGTCTGTAAATCTTCCTATTCTTCCAGCCGCCAAGTGGAAAAATATCCTTCGGTCACATGACGAATTATTAGGCAACGCACTGGTTCAATATTTACTTGAACTTTCCGACTTGCATCGTCAGGGACAGCACCATGAATGTATGCCCTCTTTCTGGGACAATGTTCCACAGGGGAAATGGAACATCGTTATGGATAAACCAACCACACACCCAACAGAGGCTTACGTTTCAAAAGTGTCTGAATTTAACGACAAACTGTTCACAGAACCGGATGTTGTTGTGACTTCAATTGAACTTTATTTCCGGCCATGGTTGTACACGGATGTAAAAACGACAGACGTCCTTGGTGGTATGAAACTGTCCTATGATAATGGTTATGAAATATGCCATGGTATTAAACCGAAGTCGAATTCAACAAAAAATGAGCAGTTGATAAAGGCATACAAGATCAGGCTGACGAGAGGGGAGCTCATCCACACTATAGACGTGGCCTTCGGGTGGTGCATCAATCGACTCACGTTTTACACCAGCAAGGGCAGACAACTCGGGCCGTTTGGAGGGAAAGGTGGAGATGTGCACAAATATAAATCACCCGCCAATGGTCAGTTTGGCCATTTTCATTGCTTCAGTGGACGCGAGATAATGACATATGAGATGTTAGCTCTCACCCACTTACAAATAGGCTGGGCACATTTCGAAACAAGTGATGCAAATGAAGACCAAATGGCAGGTTCTGAAAACAATATTACAACCGACCAAGCTAGAAGTAACGTGTAGAAGTAACGTGTAGAAGAAACGTGTAGAAGAAACGTGAAAAAGTGGAGAGATTGACTATAAGTTCGGTACTGAGTACATCACACGTACACACTGGTGGTTTACACTATCTACGGGATATTCATAAACGAATGTTTTACTACTTCCCCACAACCGCGTAACACGTTGAATTCTCCAATATGTCATCAAACATGGCCACCGTGGCCTATAACTGATTGACACATGTATGGTTGTGTGCCAATGTGATGCCAAGTGATGATTTTGCTTAAACTTTGTATGTAAGGATATTGTGACAATGTAAAGTTGACTTTGTATGTAAGGATATTGTGACAATGTAAAGTTTACTTTGTATGTAAGGATATTGTGACAATGTAAAGTTTATCTTTGTATGTAAGGATATTGTGACAATGTAAAGTTTACTTTGTATGTAAGGATATTGTGACAATGTAAAGTTTATCCAATGCATCAATAGCGACCAGAAGGTCAATTTGGAGGACTTGTTTATATTTCTATAAAACCAGCGTTATATAAATGAGGTCTGCCCAATGAAACTACTATGAAAAGCGGGCTGTCTTCTAATATTCATGTTGGGTTTGACCTACGTTTCCTCCATGGGAGTGACTTTGATACACTGTGTGGGTAATTAGCGCCAACGAGGAAATCTCAGTGTTTAACTGATAATGATCGTTTGAATTATCCTGTATCCTTCATAGATTTATAAAAAAAATGGAGGGGAATGAATTATTGCAACTGTTGCAGCTGAAAGAAATTGAAATATGAACAAGTCAACACTTTCCACATGGGTAAGATTTTTACTTCTATTCTTAATCTAAGACTTGTTGACTTCGATAGAAAAGACAGTAAAATTCTGACGCTCAATTTGGCTTAAGAATATGTCAACTGTTTCTGCCATTTTGGTATTGCAATTTTTAACACTTCAGAAATGGGTATTGTGTACTGCTGTTTTGTTGATTATTGGAAAGTGTTTGGTTTCGTGAATCGACGAAACTTATGGTGCAATTTACTAAGAGAAGGTATTGACGAGACAATGTTACTAGCATTGAGTGAAATGTGAAGCAAATGATCACACTTTTATCATGCATGTGATAACTGATTGTTTCCGAGAAATAAAGTTTGTCTCGTTATGTAATGTAAATAGGTGTAGTACTGAAAAACGATTTTTTTTTAAAATATTTATTTCAACCGATTTATGCAGGTCTTTTTTCAGCCTTGCTAACTCAGACACACTACGCTGTAGTCGACAGAGGCAAAAATGAAACAAATATAACTACATATATATATATATTATTGCCAATGAAAGACGATGGAGTGTTTGTATAAAACAAATGTATTTTGTATTTGTCAGCAATATATTTATGACAGTGGCTACTACCAGCCGACTGTTATTAACCACTATACCCTCCTCTGCTCCGTACATTAAGTTTATTAACAGTTGCATATGCGTGGGCGCGATTCAGATGTTCTGTTTGGGCGTGTCTTAAATGTACTGCTAGGACATTATACTCACATAAATTGTTAAATGAAAAAATAACGTGGAAACATGAACTTCCTATTGAAAGATGCAGACACGGTAGAATACCTAAGACTGTGTGAAAAACATGATTCGGGCGAGGTAGAAGTCAAAATACATGTATCCATGATTCAGATGTTCTGTTTGGGCGTGTCTTAAATGTACTGCTAGGACATTATACTCACATAAATTGTTAAGCCATGACTTAGATATACTGTGTGGGCGTGACTTATATATATACCGTGTTGGCGTGACTTAGATGTACAGTGTGGGCGTGACTTAGATGCACCATGCACCATGTGGGTGTGACTTAAATGTACTGTCTGGGCTTGACTTAGATGAACAACTTTGCGGCGCGAGAATTTGTATAGCTACACGTCTATAAGCCCAAGTTTCCTCTGGCTCTGACACCAGATTTATTTACAGAAATGTATGGTGCCTTTGTTTGTACACAACTGTGCGCTGTTTATCTTAATGTAATAAATGAAAAAATAACGTGGAAACATGAACTTCCTATTGAAAGATGCAGACACGGTAGAATACCTAAGACTGTGTGAAAAACATGATTCGGGCGAGGTAGAAGTCAAAATACATGTATCCCTGTTTCCCCCCCCCCCCCCCCCCCTTTTAACAAGGAAATTAAAAACACGTTACAGTGATAGATCAGTTATGATTTTAGTATAAATACATAATAAGACCGTCTATGTTGAAGTCGTTTAACTTGCTTTCAATTGGGAAATAATAATCTTTCGTGATTTTTCATTGCTGGTTCAAAACTAATATCAATTTAATAATAATTACAAGTAGTATATTGCCATATTTGAAAAAGTCTAATTGCTATGATATAACGCATTATTGTATGAATGTTATGATAAGCGTGAAGGCTGAGTGTCAATAAACTATCAAACCTGTGCTACCGGAAACCGTACTATTTCGAAAAACGGACGGGAAGATGCACTGTTCGTTTTACATTGAAGTTGACCATATTTCACCAAGTCAGGGGTCCACTTAGGTTTTTATAGAATTACAAGGGACATGCAAATAAAGCACTTAAAATTAATTAGAACCCCGTTAACATCCCTCCAAGGTCAAATCCCAACACAAAACTCTTTGTATTCGCTGAACTTTTCCCCCCATGTTTGCAATATCTCAAGAAAACGGAAGTTGAGTCAGTGCGGTAAACACACTCGTGTTTTACAGAGGTGGTGTACCGACCAAGTTTACGTTTTATCTCGGTCTTACAAAAGGTCGTCTGCATTTTTTCGTTATAAGTAAACACGGGCAGTGGGATATTGTGTACATGTGAAAGTACAGAAAATCGGCCGCGGGCCAAAACAGACCGACATTTTGGATCTGAGCATTAATAACACACACAGTTGTATCGAATACACATAACTAAATGCACCCACGTGTGTACCGTAGTCAGACGTTCGTGTACCTGTCGAGTCGGTGTGTAGTGTATGTGTAGTCAACCTTGCAGAGGGAAGAGAGGCACAACAAAACCAGCCAGCCGTGACACAGAAGAGAAATACGCAGTGTGTACTAGGTAAGGGCGTGCCACAAAGTTGGAAATCTTCAACTTATTACAATGGACGTACAGGTCGCTCCTCCGCCCAAAGGCCCTGCCGCCATCATTAAGAACCCACCAACCAAAGGCCCAGGACCCGGTCTGGTCAGGAAATCTGTTGCCATGGATTGGGGTGAAATGATTTTGGCATTTGTTGCAAAAGGTCGAATAAGTAAGGCAGCCATTTTTGACAGGAAGGGAAAGTGTATGTCCACAAGTCCTGATCTCAAGATTCCCCAGGATGAAGTAATATCCGTGGTAAGATGTCTTGACGCGGAATTTGTGTCCCTTAACAAACCTCATTTCGGACTTTTCTTTGGAGAAGATCGTTTTATCTGTTTCCGGGCTGACAAAACAACAGTCATCGGTTTAACGAAAACAGCGTTTTTCGTTGCACATATTTGTGATGATGTGGTGATTTTCGCTTTCTCGGACATGATTGAGGAATCCAATGTGTCGTGTCTAGCCGAGGTTTGGACATTTGCTCGTGAAGTTCGATCAAGAATGGATCTATCGGCCTTCATTGGATGACATTCATTTCGATGATTCAGCAGGATTTGATTACATCAGTACGTGAAGCTTAGTATTCATTATACAACACTTATATATACAAATTGCATTTACTGGAAAGTGTTTCTCATGTTAACTACACTATTGACGGGGCCAGACATTCGAGTTAAGAGGGGGCCAGAGGGCGGAGATTAATCTGGTGATATTGTGTACCTACTCGGAGTATGTGAAGGAGATTATGACAATACTGATATTACATCTGGCTAATAAAAGGCCACTCTCGCTGTTAGCCGGCGCGGTTGTTAGTTATGTGGGTGTATTGGACTTGTGGTCAGGAACATGAGAGTTTATTTTTATTTGAAGTAGCAAGGACCCACCATACACGTTAGTGTGCCCATGTGTATACCTGCACACTGGTGTTATTGCCCACGTGAGCTCAACATGTCTGCAAACTTAGTCCGGTACCTGGATTGTGTTCAAACAACTTTGGCGTCAGAATATTGGTTGGAAGGAAGGACAAATGATCAGAAACAATAACATATCATGAGTCAAATTAGTTCCGAAATTATCAAACCCCTATGTCGTGGTGTTAACAGGGGTCTGGTGTAATGCTGGGATGGTAGGGTCATGGGTCCGCCCCTAACTTGTATGTGGCCCCTGCTAAAGATATCTGTTTTAAAATTTAAGAAAATGTGTGCTTCATTTTGATGTAAATATGTACAGACACTGTGATAACATCTCTAGTAGCCAAAATATGTCTTAAGCCAAAAGTCTCTATACAGATTATCTAATAGCTGTAAAAATATTTTGCGAAATGGAAAAGTTTTGTCATCCTTCCATATTTTTTTGAGAACGGGAAATGGATACATTTTTTAGGCATTAGACCAAAGGGGCGTACCAGAGACCATAGAATTGTACTATTATACTGAATGATTAATTACTTCGGTAAGTCATACATCTGTTGTTGTGTGGGTACCCGGATGTAAAAAAATCTAAGTCTGTGCTAGTTTAGGATTGTCCCAACAAAGCAGACTGTGTATGAGAGATAGAGCGATAGTCCAGGACGAGTGCGTGTGTTGTGTTGATAGAAACTGGCACAGTTGCTCATGTGTGTTACATCACAGAGTATGATCAACTGTCATAATTATGTGACAGTAGTGTTTGACGACAGTAGTGTTTGACGACCACGATAGAAACCACAGGGACCTGAGAACGAATTGCAGGGTGCATCAATCCATCAGCTTGGACCTATCCTTATGTGTAGGGAGCAAAATTAAATATATTAACTTTATCGTAACTCCTAAAACGTTAATTATTTCCCTCTACACATCAGATAGGTCTAAACACATAGGCACTTGGCACGCTTGTCAAAACATTGGATTAGAAAAAAAAGACCAGATCCAAATATGCATTTATGTCATTTCGATCTCGGGACCATGTGAATGAATTAAACCACCGAACCTTGATGTGACTAAGTAATGTTGACACAATACTCAGTGACCTTGGGCTGTGTAGATTATTTTGATTTGTAATGTTATAATGATGGTATACGTGTTGTTACACTCCTTGACGAGTTGTTCTGGTCGAGGCTGTCCCGCGCTCCGGGGCAGGTCCAGTTAGAGCTACAATCGAACGCCCTCGCAAATCACAGTAGTGTTATTCCACCGAGTTACAAGGTTTTGGTGATATTAATCACTAGAATCAATTTGTTTTATGCCGGAAGGTCTCAGTTCTTTTGTGAGTCGAAAAGCGTAATAACTGATGCAATAGACTAATTAATATCGACGAAGCCCTGTGACTGAATTGAATTATTCTTAAAGGCCGTCAGTACAATTTAAGTGCAGAGAGTGTCTGAGAAGAAAGCTACTTTGTATTGTATGGAAATGAGAGACATATATATACTTTATAGTTTTAAGTTTGTCTAACTGAGTAGAAACGTATTGTTAAGATTAATAATGCTTACCTCCCCTACATAAATAATTTCGCCTGTCGCCTGGTAGCAATGTTACAGTCCACTGTATAACCTACTTGCCCTCGTATTTAAACCTCCATATTTAGAAGCTGGGTGTGACCAGCTGATTATTGAAATAACTACGATTGTACGTTTTCGGGTCTTTCCGGAATGATTCGCTTTTTCTTTGCTTAGCTGGACGTGGAAAGGCCCAAACATGTTCGATTGATTAGACCCTCAATATGAAATTATTATAATGTATGGTTACCACTCTTTCCAACTAGAATCCAGCAAGGATTGATGTTTAACTCTCCTCAATAGACCACCCACGCACGGGGACAGTATAGACAACCTGACCGCAGAGGGTGCGAAGATATCTACCCCCCCCCCCCCCACACACACACACACACACACACACTCCCCTGTTTTCTGAGAGTATTCTAATTTATTCTCGATTTAGTTTGTGTATGAATCATACAGAGTTTTGTTGCCCCTGTTTTGGAACATTAAGAACAGTGACAGCCTAACGGACAGGGACGGACATATTATAAATACCTATTCAGGGTATATGCTATATTACTGCATATGCCATCATCTTCTTTCCAGGTTCCACATAAAAACCCTTTAAAAATATTTTAATAGTAATGTGTCAGGTCTGATATTTTTAGATAAAGCGAATAAAAAGGGAGACAATTTATATTTATAATGTTTACGGTAGCATACACCCTTAAAACATCGTCATATACGAGTTTCTTTCCACCTACAGTATTTGTTTTTTCCTGAATACAATGACAATCTTGTTGTCCAGGGGAGATTTGGGTACCGTTATGACTAATGGCTACTCGACGCTTTAATGTACACCAGGAACATATCCACAGTAAAAGAGAGTATTATTATTTTGATAAGTATTGGAGATAATTTATTTTTCATGAGAATCATTTTTTTTTATTATTGACGTTTTGGATACTTTTATGTATCTCTTTGAAAAAAAATGTGAAAAACAAAACTATTTTTCATGAAAATATTCTGTTTTTGTTTTATTATGGATGTATTGGATAATTTAGAGGTATGTTTTCTGTAATAAAAAGGTGAGATAGTTTGTCCTGTCACAGCATCGTGTGCCCATGTAGGAAATGACGTACCCCACCTACCCTGTATCGACTGCGCTACTAATTACCTAGATAGATACGGAATCTAGTTGATATTAAGAACAGCCAGATGATAGACGGGTAGGATCATGGTATCCGAGTCATTCTTGCTTGTTTCTACAGTTTTGTTTATAATAAACAACATGTGTGCATTTATGCTTTCTTGTCCGTAGTTCCATTCTTGATTTGTTTTCTAGCACACGGTCTTCCAAGAGTTCTCGGGCCCGTGATCTGTTATATTCTGAGGCGAAGATCTCTCATTACATTTTGGATGACGAACGACCCGTTATATATGAATCCCTCCCAGGGTTGCTACATCGCAAGGAATTCTGGGAGACTTTGCCGTTTAGATATACCTGCTATTTTTCGGGGTCGAATACGGACCATTTCGTTAAGCGTCTTATCATATTCTGGTGAAGA